ATAAGTGACACCAATTATATTTATAAAATTCAGTGTACGTGGTGCATTTCAGTGCTTGTCTGGAAGCACTGTGCATAGAGAATGCTCGCATCATCATGCTGCATCTCACAGTAAAAAAACCCAACAGAGACATAGTGCGGGTAAAAGCCACATAAAATTCTACCTGCTCTAGGTAGCTCTATTAAAAAATTAGAATTAAAAAAGATCAATAAAAGGAAATGTCACATAGATTAAAGAACCATCAGATATCTTAAAAGGAAATTGTCACCAGTCACAACTGAATGGGGTCATCAGTGGTGAATTTCTGCAGATTATCTCAAAGATGAGAACACTACTTGATGTTTCCATCAAAAGCGTTTTGAGTGCTTATGGCCAGAAGACTGGCACTGTGGTGAGACAGGGACAGCACAGTCTTACGTACAAAAATAGTTTTTAACATGTGGAGAATGAGGAAGGGGAAGGCGTGTCTGGAGAGTGGGTTATTCTCAAAGGAACAAGACAAGGGCTCAAGTTGCCTGAGCAAGCTGCAGTGAACAGTGTTAATGAGATGTAAAACCAGCAGAGTAATGGCTTCTCCACTGCCAGGTTTATTTTTATCCAAGACTGTTTAAAATTAAATGCATAAACAACATGGAAAGAACACACCTTCTCCCCTGCTCCAAGGTACATGTTTTGAACACTGTGCTATAGTTCGCTCCTCCTTTGCTCATTTTCCTTCTGGGTCTCCTTTTGAAAACTGACAGCTCCAACAGAGGTATAGAGCATCTTCTTCCCAGCACACCTGTTCAGTTTGGTGGTTAATGCAGCCTTCTGGAAATCTGAAGATGTGGATCTGTATCCTGCCACAGAAGCAAACATGTCATCCACATCTCTTAACTTCTGTGACACTTCTAACCAGAAGCCAATTATTCAAAAGGTGTCTGTCATTATTTCCTGTATTTCATAACAAAAGAAAGATCATGGAAAAACCATGCAAGTATTCACATGCAAGCTCTGAATCACATGGAGGTGGTGACAACCACCTGGTGTTCTGACAGCCATTGCAGCACTGGGAAGGGACAGGACTTCACATCATTCCCCAGGGTTAACACTTCCTCCTGCTAGCTTTGGGCTGCTCACCTCCCAGAATAACCAGGTTTTCAGGATGTCATTGTGAAATGGTTCAACTCATCTGATATATGGTAATGCAGAGACTTCTATCAGCTTTGGCCCTGAAGAGTTTTTAGGATGTGTTTTAGATAGGGGCAAATTATGAGCTTTACGACAGAGGTAAATGTGTGCACTTCAATGATCTTTGATACAGAGAGACTAGAGTATTTAACAGTTCTTAACTATTTAACTATAGCTGTTTAATTTCTATTCTCCCTCATAAAAGAATCATAATGTAGCACATCTGTTTTGGATCACTAATAATGTATTTACGCTAAAAAAAAAAAAAATATGAAGTATTACATAATCCCAACAAGATTAGATCTATTAAAATGCATACATCTTTACCTGAAGTGACTATCTACAATTGCACAGATGGCTACACGTGGAACTTTCCCAAATTAAACTGTTCGTAGCATGATTACACTTGAATTATTAGACTCTGAATAAAAAAAGACCTTCTGTATCACTAAATTTGAATGGGATGCATCAATAACTTCCATCCTTTTAAAAGTATCCTGCCAATTTCATTTTGGTTTTGAGAAGTCATGCTGTGAAACTGTACTTTTGAATTTTACCTTTTTTTCCAGTCATTATCAACTGACCAGAAATGACAAGGTGACCCACTTAGTTGACAAAGGGAAAGGCTGTGGATTTGTCTGCCTAGACTTTACTAAAGCCTTTAACACAATTTCCCACAGCATTCTCCTGTTCTCCTGGAGAAACTGGCTGCTCACGGCTAGGACAGGTATATGCTCCACTGGGTAAAAAACTGGCTGGCTGGCTGGGCCCAAAGAGCGCTGGTGAATGGTGTTAAATCCGTTAGTGGCTGGTCACAAGTGGTGCTCCCCAGGGCTCAGTACTGGGGCCAGTTCTTTTTAGTATCTTTATCAATGATCTGGATGAGGGGATCGAATGCACTCTCAGTAAATTTATGGGTGACACCAAGTTGGGCAGAAGTGTTGATCTGCTGAAGGACGGGGAGGCACTGCAGAGGGATTTGGACAGGCTGCATTGATGGGCCAACAAGGCAAAGTGTTGGGTCTTGCACTTGGGTGACAACAACCCCATGCCACGCTACAGGCTTGGGGACAAGTGGCTGGAAGGCTGCTGAGTGGAGTGATAGGACAAGAGGTAACAGCCTCAACCTGCACCAAGGGAGGTTTAGACTGGGTATTAGGGAAAAATTCTTCACAGAGAGGGTTGTCAAGCATTAGAACAGGCTGCCCAGGGAAGTGGTGTCACCATCCCTGGATGTATTTAAGACACGTAGATGTGGCACTTAGGGACACAGTTTAGTGGTGGGCTTGGCAGTGCTGGTTAACAGTTTGACTTGATGATCTTAAAGGTCTTTTCCAACCTAAATGATTCTATGTTATTGACATCTATATGCATTTGCATAACTACATGTGAAAATATTGCAAGATAGTTTTAAAGGCATGCCCCATCAGATCTGTGAACTAGTAGCCGGGAACCATGTTTACGGGATGGTGCGATGTTTGGCAACAGTAACTTGATTCCCCAATTTGGAACTGCAAAGAAACTACTGAAATACCAAGAGCCTAGACTGGTATTGCTACCGGGAATATAAACACTAAAGTGCTGCTTCATAAAACAAAGGGAAACCCCACTCATCTATAAAACTAGAAATGAAAGAACTAACACTTGATTCCACAACCAATCTGGACACCTCCCTCCCCTACCCCTTCCAAAAACCCCAACCAGACACTTGCATTAACACTTACCTAAGCAAGTAATAATCTAACCTTTCATTTCAACATACTTTGCTGACCCACCAGTAGAAATATAATAGCGCTTGTCCAGTGGTAAAAGGCTGCTAGCTATTCACTACAACAAATCTTAGAAGCTGTTGCAGTCTAGGGCTGTAACTGTAGAAAGATGAAATTTTGAAGGTCAGAAGGGTCTTTTCCCTAAAAAGTAAAGATGCATCCCAGACTAGAATTTGAAAGTTCCCTTTTCTCCATCTTCACTGGTGTGGGTAAGATGCACTAGTCTTTCCACAGAGGGCTCTGAGGTGCAGACAGAACAAGCCAAGCTGAACTGTGTCCCCTACTTACTTTGGGCAAAGGACCACTCTGCTTTCTCCTGAAGGAGTTTTTCTGCTGATGGATAACTTCCTGTTTGTAAATCGTTGCCTGTGCAGAATTAAATGCCACCTTACTGCAAAATCCTCTTCTCTACAGCCTGTTTCTTCTCCAGTAACTTGGATATTACAAAGTCCTTTTTCATCTCATAAAGGTGCTGACAGAGCAAAAAGTGTCACAACTCTCTCTGTGCGATCCACCACAATCATTTCAGTAGAGCACAGAGCCAGGCAAGGTACCTACAACTGCTCCACCAGGATTTTGACAGAATGAAAACTGAATTCTGCACAGCCATAAAGGTGCTACAATGAACACCACTTGAAAACTGGAACAGTAATATGCTACTACAATTTGAAGGTTTATCTCTTAAGAAGCTTTTAGTAAAGCTGCTGGTTAATACCAAGTCTCCAAGAAACTCTGATTGTTTACTTAGTTAGAAAAATAAAATCACAACACACATGGTTAGCAGCCATTGAGACAACTTGTTTGTAACCTTAATTCTTTTCACTCGTTAATTCTGAGTAACTACCCTTCGCACCTCAGCCATTAAGCACACTGTTCTACTTGCTATGACTCCAACTCAGGCAATCCTATAGCACAGGTACAGCTTTCAGGATACTTGAGTTTTCTGCCCTGTCCCACTCAGGGAAACACAGTGAGAAGTGCTGTTAAAGAGACCACCACTGGAAAAGCTCAGCTTTGTTCATTCTAGTACAAAATACTTTCCAACTTTGCCACACTTTCAAGTACTTCTCACACCAACTCCATGAGCATTTACTTTTCTTCATGCTGACCTTCCGCTCATCTTGTTTCCTAACGCTGGGAAGCTGGACTCCCAAACTTTTGTCTACATTCCCCATTTTTCACTAAATTTCAGACACGTACAGCAAACAACTTTTATTTTTTTTTTAATTTTACAGTACTGATTGCTCCGAGTTATGCCTTACTGTTGGTACACAGTAAATACATTCACCTGAACAATTCACTTGGTATGAAAAAAATGCAGTTAAAACATTAAAAATACCACTTTACACTGTGCAAAACAGAACCTTCAGAAGTAATGACATTGGCTACAGCCAAACATGGAGAAAGACTGTTGCCCTTCAGTCTACCAGCATGTTTTTCTTGCACCGCTTCATCTGAAATTGCCTGTAACAGTAGATTTTAAGTGAATACTTGTGCTGAATTAAGATTTAATTACACTCAGCTTGGTCTTTAGCACCAAGGATGCCTTCCTGTTCTATTCATTCCACCAGGAGCGGCCATTTCGGAAGATTTACTGAACAAATGGCTTTCAGTCACATTTCAAAACTGCAAATGTTTCTGAAGGGGAGTTGTACTCTATTGGTGCATGCAGCTGTCAGCCTGGATAAATTAGGTAACATGCTTCCCCTAGATAAAAGAAAAGTGGCTGGGCACAACTGCCATTTCACAAATAGTACTTAAGTCAGATGAATGCATTCTTATCGCAAGCTTTAGACAGATTAATGTATACCACAACACCTAGCACTGATTAAATTTAGAAAAATATTATCTTGGGGTGATTTGCTTGGGTTTTTTTTTTTAAGTCTTTGTTGTTTTGTTTGGTTTGGGTGTTTTTAGAATCTTTAAAGTAATGTAACAGAAGATGTATGGTGGAAGATGCCAAAAACCACCCTGAAAAAGTTGGGCTGTCAAAGCTATTATGCTGTTGACAATCATTCATTTGATTATTTATATTTTTTTAAACAATGAAGAGGCAGGAAATGTTTATTTATATATTTTTTTAATTCTATGATCAAGACTGACTGAACATTATAGTCATTTAAATCAACCCAATTACATAGTTTCCATAAGTTAATGGCTGCCAAACAAGTGTGTACTTCAGTGACCCACCACAAGCAATGTTATCTGATGGGTGAGACAGATTTTAGGTTAGACACAGTATATGTAAAAATAGAAAGTTTAAAAACCAATCTCATCACAGACATTTCCGTAGCCATCTCCCTTGTGAAATAAATAAGGCAGCAGATAACTTCTACTTTGTGGCACTTTTGAGGTATGCTATTAAGTCTGCTCTCTCAGACTTCTTCTTAATACCCGCAAAAATCATCTTTGTTCCTGGGATATACTTCTTTGGATTTTCCAAATATTCCATCAGAGTATCCTCACCCCAAGTGATACCTAGAGACAAGAAAAAAAAAAAAAAAAAAGACAGATAGTGACTTTAAAATAACCAACACTTATGTTCTTGTCCTCCATGTTATTTCAGCCTTCATCAGTACTTCAAAAAGTATCACCAAGAACTGAACATTTTTGTCCCCAGTGACTCAGAAGAGCAGCTCTAAGTTTACCTTTATTTTTGTTAGCATCCGTGTAAGAGAAGCCCTCAGCTTGTCCAGTCTTGCGTCCAAATATGCCATTCAGGTTGGGTCCAGTCTTGTGCTTGCCTCCTTTCTCAACCGTATGGCACTGGGAGCATTTCTGTACAAAGATCTTCTTGCCCTTCTCAATATCTCCCATTTTCAGCACTAGACCAAGAACACACATGGAGGTCAGTGTTGCAATTTCAAGGTCACCTATTCA